CTGAAAAATGTCAAATTCCATTGCTTCGGTCTGGTTTGGTGCAAACCTGAATTCAGACACGAGTTCTGGTGTGTGCTCTGGGTGCTCGCACTCTCCCAGCTCAGCTGCAATCAATCGGTTGAACAGTTAAAAAATCATAAAGACCATGGGATGACCAGAAACGTTTAATTCCATAATCTCCATAAAGAAACATATAACTTTCATTGTCTAAGTAAGCTAAGTAACATTAGAAGTTTAAAAAAAAAAACCCACAAACTCAGATTGTACAGCAAAAGTGAGATAATGGCATTTGCGAGAGCAGTGTAAGGTTATGGCACAGAATTCCGACATTTAAGAAAGAACTAAACAACGTAACTAAAGCCACTTCTCTGTATTTTAAAGCATTTAAAGGAAAAAGTTTCTGTTAAAACCAAAAATCAATGCACTACTGTTTCAGAAGAGGTTACTTTGAACCTTCCTCTTGTTGCAATGACATCCTACTTTTCCTCCCAAAACACTTCCCATTCTATTGCATGCTTTGTTGCACCACTGTTTGTGCCAAAACACACCACCGTGGTGGTGTAACATTCATATTAAGTAATTTTTAAGGAAAGAAATGCTGATGCATTAGCATAACTGAGGTGTCACTTGCTACTTATTTACTTAGGGCCTGGTGTCTTCTTTTCTAGGAGCAGGACACTTTCACACTCTACTGAGCTCAGCCAGTGCCGAGCTTCTTGGTGACTTAGGCCCTTAACTGTCCTGTGCCTGCAACACGCTTTGCTCCTGGGACCACTCAGCTGTACAAAGCTGCTGCAATGACGGGACTGAGAGACAAACATGAGAGGCAAATACACCGTTCAGGAATACCTCATGTCACCTGACATACAATGCCATTGCACAGTCAGCCGGTGCTTCTTGACTGCTGCTACTATTACTACTACTACGAAAAAACCTCCCCAAAAAACAAAGAAAAAAGCACAGAAGGGAATGAAATCCCCTGAAGAAAACAGTTCTACTGCTTCAGGGCAGTTTTACACATAACAGTTGCAAAGATGTAATCGACTCTCCGCCTTCAAAAATACCTGGCAGGATACACTAGAACACAGGAAGGTACTTTGAAAATGCAATCTCTTGAGTGATACACCTACTAGGTGGTTTTGAGCACTTCAGCTTTGCTCAAACATTTAGCATTCCTGAGGATATTGAACAGATCGAGTTCACTGATGTTCATTTCTAACTACTGCCTCGCACGCATTTTTCTCCTCAACAGCAATCTTCCATGGTGAGTTATACTATTTTTATCTACATGTCTTCTTCCACAGAGACATTGCAGCGCTGCTGCTGTTTCAGCTAAGTTGGAAGCCTGTTCAACACAGATGTTACTAAGAATTACTGGCAGTCCAGTCTCCAGTGTGTAAGAGGGAGCCACAACAAACACATTAGCAAGGAGGCCTTTGAGGAACAAAAATATGAAACTGAAGTTTGATGTGTTGACAACCACCCAGGAAAGACATGGGAGATTTATCTACTAGTTGACTGAAAGAGAAGGCGGGGAAGGAAGGCTGACTGTGCTGCACAGAGGACGCGTAAGGGTAAGAAGAATCGTGAGTGCATAGGATGACAGATACATAGAGCAGCTAGGGCAGGAGTGGTAGGTACAAGCAAAACACCACCCTTGTTTCTCAATAGCTGCACTCACTATTTATTCACTTGCAGGCAAAGAAACGATGTTGCTATTCCGATCTCTAAGAACGAGGTCTTGAGAGTAAGAGCCATGAAGAGTCTCATCAGCTCCCTGCACAGGGGCAGTGGAAGAAGGGCGAAACGCCGGTCTCCGTACGAGGATGCTCTCACTAGTCACTACGCCCTCTGAACAGCTCACCAGCACCCCTTACTTTCAACAAAAGGGCACATCAGAGGACCCATCTCTCTTCATTCGAGCTTTTACGACAAAGTATCATGCTTTGGTGTGCCCCTCCTTCAGTCTGTTTTGGGGTGGGGGGAGGTTGTTGCATAACACATTTACATACATTATGCATGTTGTTTAATAAATAATGGCATAAGCTGGGGGGGCCATTTTTAAAAGGAATTTTCCAAGAAAGGTTTTGAAAGCTGCAACAACATGTTTATCTGTGAATATATTGTTTATTCTTTTACACAGAAGGAAAAAAAAAGTTTGCACTACTTCCCTGAAGATGACTTATGATTAGAACTAAAAACTGGAGATCTGAGAAAAAGTTTTCTTTTTCAATTTAATAAGTAGTTTCAAAAGTATATCTGGTGAAATATGAAAGACTCACCAGACTAACGAAGTAGTTAAAAACTTACTCTAGCAGTGACAGTTCAAGTTCGACTACAATTTTCCTGTAGATAATCCCTACGCAAAGCACGTGATTATGTATCTGCTTCACGAGTCACCCCGTACTGCAGATCAATGTTATTTCCTACAGAAGATCCCTCACAGGACTGGTGACAAACCAACATTTTTTTGATTTGCAGATTTAGATTGGACATCAGGAAGAAGTTCTTCCCGGAGAGGGTGGTGAGGCAGTGGAACAGGTTGCCCAGAGAAGCTGTGGATGCCCCATCCCTGGATGTCTTCAAGGCCAGGCTGGATGAGGCTTTGAGCAACCAGGTCTAGTGGAAGGTGTCCCTGCCCATGGCAGGGGCTTGGGACCAGATGATCTTTAAGGTCCTTTCCAACCCAAACCTTTCTAAACTTTTAGTTGATTCTATGGTATGATTCTATGAATTTAAGTTTGAAAGATGATTATCACAAAAGGCCAGACTTGGAAACTGAGAGAAAGAAAGAATTACTGTAACAACAGAACAGCTTCTTTGTTAAAGAATATGTATGAAGTTTAAAGCTGTCCTGTAAAGAGAAAAGGCCTTTCAGAGGGTTAGAGCATCAGTTCCTAAATACCCTTTTATAACTTCTTCCTCACTCTTAGGTAAGCATCACGAAGGTACAAGATTGGATTTCACAGAGTACCTGTAACCTACTGAGGGAATAATCATTTGGCATTTCTCCAAACTCTAATTAAAAGCTTCCAATGTCAATAAAATGTAATAAATGTTATTAAAACATGTGTATTATAGAATATGCCAGCAGAGATAAATAAAGTAGTTACAATAATGAAAAAATTTTGGAGAAACTTGTTGCGATGATGTCAGAATAATGGAAAATTTAAACTGAAGAGAGCAAAACAATATAAATAATGCCCCCATAATTTAAATATGTTCCCACAGACAGTGTCAAGAAGTGTTAGTTTTGGTACCTAGTTAGAGATACGGATGGCTATTGCATTGTCTTTATATAGTAAAGTTACTACCCAAAGAGTTGAGGTATCAACCTATTATTCTTGGTTCTCCCTGCTTAGACCAGAGGTGAGGGTACCTCTGCTTTGTTCTGTGAAGATGGAAGTAAAGAATCAAAGAGGGGCCCCAGATCTTCTCCACCTCAGAAAGACAAACGGAGCTTGCCTGCAGCAGTTCTCTGCACACCTAACAATCAGAGCTGTGCCAGACTGGTGCAGACGGACACTGAGGAATAACTCACTGCCTTAGGATGTACACCTGATGCTGTCTGGAACTGAAATCCCAGTTTCGACTGTCAAGACCATCTAGAATCACGGAGTTATCTCCGTTCCTGTATAAACTAAGAGACTGCTCAAGCACTCCATGTGCCATTGCCAACCACCAGCAGAACAGGAAGAGTAATTTTCATTTTGATTCATTTTGCTGCTGATACGGCTAGATTGGTCCAGATCACTGACTGCACTTTCTTTCAGAAAAAAAAAACAAGACAAAACCAAAGCAACCCAACTTAATTTGAGCTTCATTACACAAGTTTCCTTCCCATCTGCAAAACAAACCGCCTGATATTGAATGAATATTTTTATCAATGCGTTCGCAGCAATAGAAAAAATATTTTTTCCTACAATAAACTAATGAAACCTAGTGTCCTGAGTTTTTTTAAATCTTGTAACCTTTGCTCCTGACACAGAACTAATCTTCGTTCTTGCTTTTCCACGTAATCGACTCCTCTCCAGTACCTGCCATCCCCTCTCTCCTGCTCCATAACCATGTCCCGTGTCGCACTCCGCGGAAGCTCGCTCTCCCAAGCGCCGGCCAGGCAACAAGGATCCCACGTTCACCACTGCACCCGCAGGGACCTGCCTGCCACAGAGCTTGTGCCAAAGGGCTACAGGTGGCTCTTCAGGCTGAAGGGGTAACACTGCACACACCACAGCTTCTCCCTCTGTGAGGAAGTATTTGGGGATTTTCTTCCCCGGTCAGGCCCTGGTTTCCATGAAACCTTTGTCTCTCCATGCGTTTGAGGGCTCCTTCCCCTTGGGGCAAGTGTGCTGACATTAGCCAGTGTAGTTTGGGGGTGATGAAAGGAGGGAATGCAGGAAAGTGATCACCCTACAATTCTCCTCAGGTAAAGAAATGCCATTTATATATGATTAATGAGAAATCATTAGTATCAAGAGTGAAAGAAACTAGTAGGAGAGGTTTTTTAATACATTGGGACAAACCACTTTCAAAAGATTGCGTACCTTGAAGACAGAGAGCTGCTAGTTCAACAGCAGTTTCATACGGGCATTTCAGTCTTAAAAAGAAAAAAAAACCTATAAAAATCATGACACTTTTTCCTCAGTGATTCCTCTTTCAATAAAGCTAAAAAGTAGCCTGATACATGAAATGGAAGCATTAAATTCCACACACTATTAATGGTATGAAACATCTACAATTAATTTTTACTTGCATATGATTATTTCCTAATTTAGTACATTCTAATTAGCACTAAACACAAGATATGCTTCACCATAAAAAAACCTTGAGCTAACACACACACCATTAAATTGACTAAGAAACCATTTTTGCCCCAACACACTATTTTAGAACATGTCGCTTTGAGCTTTTTGATTTTTGTAATTGGGAAAAAAAAAAATAGAGCAGGTGTGAATTTACTGGCCAGGGTGAGACTATAAACACAAAAAAAAACTTTTGCAGGGTTGACCTGAACAGAAAGTGTTGCCATTCATCATCTTTCCCTTTTCTGTTTGACTGAAAAATATGGCAAGACTACATTACATTTTCAAATCACAAAAATCATGACAGTCTTTGCTCTATACATATCCATTACCTGGTCAACCCGACAGTCTTTGCTCTCTTTATACATATCCATTACCTGGTCAACCCATCAAAGATCTTTACCCATTCTATTTGTCAATAATATAGTCAAGATGCAAACAAAGCTGTATTTTTCTCTATTCTAAAGGGGAAAAAAAATGCACATGGAACTGTAAACTGTGTTTATAATCTGTACACAAATACCATAAAGAATTAAAACGATTACGCAGTTAAATTTTAAATCTCTATGTGATTAGCTATTATAAATACTTTAAATTACAGCTGCAAAAGCAAAGAGGTACTTACTTCCCTGAAAGAATGTCTTGCCGGAGCTGTAATACAAACAGGTACCTGACAAGTAAGAATTCAGAAAGTCAAAACTATATATTATATAATGCCACCTTTTTAGCCCCAGTAGCTGGAAAAAACATTCCAATTCACTGAGTAGTCACATCATTTTCATTAACTTGCTCTTAAAAAACCAAAGGGCCTTTGAGTTCGCTCAGATACTCCCTGCAACCTCTGAAGTTCCCATAGCTTTCACCAAAATCAAAAAACAGAGAACACTTTTCACCCACTGTCTGTGTTCCCAACATTGCCCAAAACCTTGCTCTACTCTGAGCATGCACCACAGCAACCTAAATCCTACTGATGCTCCAACGTTCTCCTGAACTGGGTCTTGCCCGATTAAAGCAAGAATTGGACTATGGAATCTAAGGACAAAACACAGGTGAAGACTTCAAGGCTACCTTCTCAAACAGAAACACAGAACATGGGAAAAGTCCAGACTGGGCCAAAGGACAAGCTCAGACTGAACTTTCACTTAAAATAGCAGAGAAGTTCTGAATAAAAGAAACCTGAACTCCATGGAGCCCACACATTTATTTAGGAGGCCAAGTAGGAATTTACAGCGTTCAAACTGTAGTAGTATCTTAAGTTCTTCCTAATCTTCAGTTCTAGGCACACCTGGTGTTCTGCAGCCACTCGGAGCTGGGGTTTGAGGCATGCAGAAGTGCCCCAGGCCACGGAAGAGCTCTGTAAAGGGCAGGATGGCACAGGCAGGCCCTGCACCGCTTGGAATACTGCAGGGGAGGCTTGCAAAGATGGTGACTGACTCAGGAGAAGAACACATGAAGCTCTGATAAGGGCCAACCCAGTAAACAAGACATAAATCTCTCCTGTGTTTACAAGAGGGTGCTAGAAGACCAAGTCCTTTTCACTGCAGAGGATGTGCTGTGAATGTGGTGAAGGAGGAATAGTTGGAATCAGACAGAAAAACAGAAATTAAAAGGAAGATTAAAGACACTTCTCATGATACACTGAAGCAGAATCAGATTCATCCACATTAGCTGTGCCACATCTCTGATTCACATACTTGGCTAATACCTGACATGCCAAGCAAACATGGGTATTTGTGTGCACAAATTAAGGGTAGACAAGTATAATTCCTGCTCTTACTGTTTTCCCCTGATGATTCACAATCCCATGGACTCAAAATTTGCAAGAAGAACTCTGGGCAGTGTTTCTGTGGGTGTCAGCGGCCTGTGCAGCACTGCTCTGGCTGGCGTGGCTTACTCTTCCTTCCTTTTGGCACACAGACCCACAAGCACCAGCATCTCAGTTGTTGATAAGCAAAATGCCTTAGAAAATTCTCCACAACACCCTCTGCTGTTTTTCAAACTAAACTAACTAATCAGGCCCCATGGAAGTGACAGAAGGTGTCTTCCACAGTGCACTGGGTTTCAGCTGTTGTTTAAAACTGGAAAAAGGACAGAGCGAGCAAAGGGTTTCAACACTTTCCCATTACAGTGCTGATTATGTCAATGTGATGTTTACAGCTGCACTCGAAACTGGAGTCTACTAGAAAACAGATCTTCAGTATGAACATCCTCCCAAGCAAGCCAGTTCGTGGTTACTGTTAATGACCATTTTTCTTCCTCCTCTTACTCCCATTCCATTTCTACTTGGAATAATTCTGAGTATGTAGTCGCTAATCCTTACTTTTTACTGAACATACTACATGGAAAATATGATCCATCCAGTATAAAGATTCTTAAAAAAAACAGCAACATGTTCCCCAACAAAAAAGAAAAATACAACTAACAAATAGTTGCTGTAAAATCAATTTCCAGCTCATTTTTATTTTCCCTCTATAGTTTCACAGTGGTCTTTCTCAAGCTCATAATTAAAAAAAAAATATTCATAACCATGAAAATTTAGCTAAAGTGTTTTCCTAATTAAAATAGCCTTCTGAAAGGCCACCTTCCAGCAATAATTAGATCACAAAGCATCAGACATTAATTCTTTCAGAGGAAATGTCTTACTCGATCACAGCAATGATCACATAGCTCAGAAACACACATCGCACCATGACTAGGATCGTATGCTTCAGAGGATGAAGCAAGAGATCTTGTGGTAGACAGTAATGGAATAATTTGACCACAGGGGAAATGTAATTCTTGTCAGACATGCAGCCTGAGGTATGAAGAGTTACATCAATTTTCAGAAAATATGCCTACTAATTCAACTGCATTTTCTCACTAGAGATGCCCCAAAATCATCCAGGTATTCGTATTCTCTAAGATCTTATACTCAATTACATAAATGGCATGGAGCTCGTTTAATTATAAATTGGCTATGAATATGTCCTTTTATTGAATTAACACTGCTGCGCTAAATTCATAATGCATGCTAAAGCCTCCATGTCAGTCTCATAAGGTGGTGACAATTAGTTCTTTGATCTTGTCTCAGGCAGTGGAAAAAACACATGGTCAACACAGCAGATATGAAAGGAGAAAGTAAACATATGCCTGCAGGCATAAGTTTAATGCAAACATCACACGCACAGGAACTACAACAATCAACAATCTTTAAACCACTTCGGCTGCTTGGGAGTACACTGATTATTATCATGCAAAGTAGAAAACATAGAAAGTGCCCTATGTTGAGAAACAGAACAACAAATTAAAGAAAAAAAGATAAATTGAGATAGATGATTACTATACAATGAAGACACAAAGCTGGCACATGCAAAAGGTAAGGAAAACCTTGTACTCTAGCTGCTGCTTTCCCAATTTTCAGAAAACCCTCAAGATCACACCAGGGAGCTACAACCCAGCAAGGTGTAGTCCTCTCAGCCCAGAGAACAGCCCACCAGACTGAGGTAAAAGCCGCCAGGTATTCTATGGTGACTTTATACAATGCAGACTTTGCACCTTTTTCACCACAGAGAACTTGTTGGGAAGTAGACAAGATTCAACCAACCGTTAACCAAGAACTCAAGCTGCCTATTCCCACAATTTTGTACCATTATTAAATCACCGCCAAGTCTCTGAGCAAGGGAGACAAAGGAGAGCACTGGCATTTTAGCAGGAAAAAATCCTCAGAGGCATGGCAGGCATCACTGGTGTGAAGAGCAGCTGTCTCCCCAGTGCAGGTCTCCCCACCCAACAGCCTTCCTAACTTCGTAGCATCAAAACACAGCATCTCTCACATGTTAAAACACTTGGAGAGGCCCAGAAATGGCTTTTGCCCATGAATTAAAAGGATGATGTTTCTCTGATAGTAGGAAAACAACTAATAAGTCAAACAAAATGAACACTCTTCGTAAGAAAGGCGATTTGTACCTTAGATCTTGTTTACCCTGCTGCCAGTCACCTTGATAACCGTGCATAGTTCCTACCTTGTAAACTCCTCATGAAGGTTGTTCGGTTCCGAGGAATAGTACTTAATTCGAAAATGCAACGTGTATGGAGGTCCAACTGTACATGCAGAGATTTTTAAATGGGGAAAAAAAAACCAAACAGTTTACACTAGTTGCGATTCTGCTAAGGCAGAACAACAGCCCCACTCCACAACCCAAGAAACCCAAAGTGAACTGATTTTCAAATTCTTCAAAGAAGCCAATATTCCATGTTTTTAAATTTTAAAATGCATGTGATATTAAAGCCTGGCATTGAAGACTTCCAGGGATGGGGCATCTACAACATCTCTGGGCAACCTGTTCCAGTGCCTCACCACCCTCTCCAGGAAGAACTTCTTCCTGATATCTAATCTAAATCTCCTAGCCTTCAGTTTAAAGCCATTGTCTCTTGTCCTGTCACTACAGGCCCCTGTAAAAAGTCACCCTTCAGCTTCCTTGTAGCCCCTTCAGGTACTGGAAGGTGCTATAAGGTCTCCCCGGAGCCTTCTCTTCTCCAGGCTGAACAAGCCCAACTCTCTCAGCCTGTCCCCATAGCAGAGGTGCTCCAGCCCTCTGAGCATCTTCGGGGCCTCCTCTGGACTCGCTCCAACTGGTCAATATCCTTCTGATATTGAGGGCTCCACAGCTGGACGCAGCACTCCAGGTGGGGTCTCACCAGAGCAGAGTAGAGGGGCAGAATCCCCTCCCTCGACCTGCTGGCCATGCTCCTCTGGATACAGCCCAGGATACGGTTGGCTTTCTGGGCTGCCAGCGCACACTGCCGGCTCATGTTCAGCTTTTCATCCTCCAGTACCCCCAAGTCCTTCTCCTCAGGGCTGCTCTCTATCCATTCTCCACCCAGCCTGTATTTGTGCTTGGGATTGCCCCGACCCAGGTACAGGACCCTGCATTAAATTAATCAAGCAATAGTCCATTGGGCAAACACATTTTTTTCAAAGAGGTATGCCCTGCAGCACACTGAGTGACAGCAAGTTCCAAGTATGCTGCCTGTTGCTGGGGTAGGGAGATATGGAAGGGAGAGGGTGATTCTTCTTGTTACCAGGCACAAACAAAACTCGTTACCCATCTACCATGAGACTGACCAACACATCCTTATCTGCCTAAGCCTCACCTTCCAGCCCAACAGCCTGCTGGTACACCAAGTGTTCGACAAATGACTTTTTCACACCTTTCTAAGGTCTTCTGTAACACCACATCAATACAGTCTACAAGTTTATTAATGATCCATCCTAGTAAACGGCATACAGCCAAAACTCCAATAGTTAGAGCTTTGCCATTGCCTCCAATGCCAACTCCTAGAAGATGAGCTGTAGTCCCCTGAACTGACAGTGAGGCACCACTGGTAAGGTCTGTGCTAGCCAGATATGACTCCTAACTGCCCACCACTGGGAAAAAACCAGCAGTGAGCAACATCCACCATGAAAGTCTGCAAGAATTGGGCTTGTTCAGCCTGGAGAAGAGAAGGCTCCGAGGAGACCTCATTGCAGCTTTCCAGTATCTGAAGGGGGCCTAGAAGGAAGCTGGGAGAGGACATTTTACAAGGGCCTGTAGTGACAGGACAAGGGGTAATGGGTACAAATTGAAAACAGGGAGGTTTAGATTAGATATCAGGAAGAAATTCTTCACAGAGAGGGTGGTGAGGCAGTGGAACAGGTTGCCCAGAGAAGCTGTGGATGCCCCCTCCCTGGAAGTGTTCAAGGCCAGGCTGAATGAGGCTTTGAGCAACCTGGTCTAGTGGAAGGTGTCCCTGCCCATGGCAGGGGGGTTGGAACTAGATGATCTTTAAGGTCCCTTCCAACCCAAACCATTCTATGATTCTATGAAAGATGAACTCTTCTCAAAGCACCTGCTGTCTGCAAGGTAAAGAAAAGTACCCTGTTGTGAGACAGACCTTTACAACTCTCATCAACTGCTTCCCTCTTTGGTGTTCCTCAGGGCAGGGCTCGGACAATTTCATTTTAAAACAGGCCCTTCACAAAATGAACACAGACAGAACAGTGCTACTAAAGTGGTGGAAGATGTTAGAGAATCCTTGATTTTCCACATTTTTAAGACTGATCAAGAAAAGGACGGAGCTATCACAGAAAGCTCACCTGCAAAAGTCACTGTGCTGGTTAAGAAGCGTAAGGCAGTCCGTGGAGTGATGAAAAGGTGAGGGAAAGCCGACCACCAAAACCTTACCCAGAGTCATCTCTTCTGGCAGACTGACACCCACACACCCTTGAAGAACCCCACCATTTGCACAAACCATACGTGGATACTTATCAGAATGAAAAGCAAAGCAGTACTGAAGCAATCAAGACCCATCTCTGTGAGGTCCTGCAAAGGAGTCAACAATTTCCTTGCAAAACACTGTATTTTGATCTCACAGAAGCAGTATTCTCAGTTGGCCTATGGCTGTTGTCAACTGCAGCTATTAACAAAACACTTTAGTGCCAGTGTTGTACTGCACCCAAGCCTGCCACCAGATTATTAGACATCCAGGTGCAACTTGTCTGCCATAGCCAATTTCCACAAAAAACTCAGTGGCCAAACCCAACCCTTCCATTCAAAACTCCCTTTGATGAAACAGCAGGTATTTCTGCTAGTTTTATTTATAACATACAAAATAAAAAAGAGGTTAACCATTACACAATGAAATATTTTCCATTTGCTCTTCGAAAAATCCCCATGAAGTCTGTTCTGGTTCAGCCAGCAGTGACAGAAACCATGATCTGTGTCCAGGCAACCTCATTTCACAGATCAGAATGAAAATACCTGGCAACCTACCCTGTCTCAGACAAACAGCAGACAAACACAACAGTGTTTAACGAGGGCCGCGGAAGGTTGGTCTATTGATTATAACTGCTCTTGCATTTAGACGTGATAGAGTCAGCCAATTAGCCATTAAGTTAAACCTATTGCCTAAGAAGATTTATTCCATTAAAGGCCATATTAAATATTCAACATTCAAATACTTCTAAGTTTAAATTCTTCAGGAAGTAACAAAATAAACAGGCAGAGACAAGGTACTTACTTTTTATTTGCTTCTTAATGAATTTTGAATGGTCCAACCAGTGCTAAAGAAAAAAAAAAGAAAATCCATGTTTAAGAGCAGTTCCATTTCAAGACTTTGTTGATACAATAAACTAATTGCAGTAAAATTTCACAGATGAAAATCCCTTAAAAGGAAATATTGCCATATTTACTTGCTAAACTTCTACGCATTTGCTGAAGTGTTTATTCAGACATTTACCAATTTTCTTTCATGGAGGAAAGTTTGACTAAATGCATCAGTACTGCCAGGGAAGTTTCAGTCTTCCAGATAGGAAACCTCAAAATCCAAAGCCACAAAGCAGTGGCGTGTGAGGAAAATACCCTTCTGTCCCCAGGTTTAACTGCTGCCCAAGTGCCCCTGAGGACAGCAGCATCCTGGGTCTCATTCTCCTTTCAACTCCCCAGTTTGATGGAGATCGTCCAGATCCTGTGCTGTCTTGCCTTCCATTGCTTCATCGACAAGCTTTTTTCAAGATAAGGATGAAGACTTAACCTCCACTAAAAGCATTTGTAAACCACTGATGCATATCCCGCTCTCTTTCTTAAACTAACAGCTGTTTCAAAACAGTATTTCGACTTCCTTGAAATAAATGTTTTTCTATCTTTATGTATATATTTATTTTTAAATATTAAACTAGGTACTATGGAACAAAATCTTCAGAGAAAAAAAACCCCTCTTCCTCCCTCCCTATTAAAGCATTCACACTTTCAGAAACAGAAGAATCTTTGACTGACTACTCATCATTCCACTAACACTGCGCTGCCATGGCTAAATAAGTGTGAAAAATTATTTGTTGGATAGTAATACCGGTATTTATTTACTACGTATGTCCTAAGCCAAAGAAAGAATTTATCACAGGTATAGAATGGTATAGATTCAAAGTCTGACAACATACGACTCTTGAAGTAAATAAATCTCACCAAAAAAAAAAAAAAAAGGAAGAGAAATGAACCAATTATTCTGAAGGTGCTTTTATTTGCATGAGACTTGCTAGACTCCCTTAGGAGAGGCTGCCAAGGAATCCATCCTTACAACCTGAGAAATCTCGACCAGAGTGGAAATAAAACATTACAGCAGCTCATACATACATTCCTTGGAGTTGCAAGTAATTTATTCTGTCTCTACTTTGCTCTCTTATGATGAATTACACCAGAAACCATAGGAGTTCACAGAAGCTTTGTGAAAATTCCAATTTTTAAGGAAAAAATATCAACATTGAAACATTTTTTTTTAACTGAAATTATACAAATCTGCTCCTTTCATACCTCGAGGGCAGATTAATTTTTTATGCTATAAATACCTAGCTACAAAAATGTCTTTCCCCTCAATATTTATTTTGGCTAAAGATAAACCACTCACAAAGACAAATATACTGATTCTATTAAAAGTTCAGTTTCATGTTAAATGAAAGCAAACATGAGTAACATCTGTATTACAAGCAAAAAATCCTCCAAGAACTTTTCATCTGTGGCTTGTTCGTACCATGCTCAGTAATAAGCACCGCACAGCCTGAACTACAATCATTCCCAGTAAAATAAAAGCCAACAGTCCCAGTCTTAGAAGGCAGCATTCTAGGTGTACTAAAACTCAAATGACAGCAAGTTTCAAACTGATTATTTGTAACCGTAAATACTTCAAATAAGGTTTAAAAATAACTAACAAGACTCTAGGAACTACTTGTGCAGACCATTAAATGGGACTGCAGCCTCATCAGGAAAGGATCATTCATTCTGCATACCCAAGCAGCCAGAGGCAGACTGCTCCAGGAGGTAAAACACACCAAGCATTAAACTCATCTCTCTTCAGAAGCAAGAACGAGCTGCTGTGTTACCCCATCCCATGTTGCACATCATGGCTGTGTGTGATGTGGCCACTACAAAGATCACAAAATAAAAATACAGAGGTAGGATGTGGGTTGGCCAAGAGTTTGGCCAAGAGTTATCGGGCCTGGCAGTTTTCAAGCAGATTTGTGAACCAAGACCAATCTAGAAGTCAGGTATTTTGAGCAACTTCTGTGAAAATCAGGCTGAATTTCAACACTTTATTGCTTCACATAATGTTGGAGAGTTTCTTCACGCTGGAAATCACATGGGCTTTCCAAACGTCCCCCTAAGCTCAAAAAATTTTGCCATCCTATTCCTCCCTTTCACCTAAATTGTCTAGACAGTTGTAAGCAGGAACACAATACGCACATCAAGAAAAGCTAGTCTTGTCTTGTGGGGCAACGAAGACTACAAGTGAGGGCTCTGAAGGCTTGAACACTTGAAGGTGTAGAAAGTGACGTCAAAAGCACTTATCAATGAACCAGAAGAAAGCCTCCAAAAACAGAGTTGAAGATTTCATAGTGCTCTAGCTAAAGTCCAAGAAAGGTCTGGGCTTGGCTGCATATGACTTGCTGACTCAAGAACAAGAAAGTGAAAGCCATTTCTCTTCAAATTCTGAAGTCTCACTAGGAAGCTGAATAAAATCGGAGGGGGCATTTCCTCTCTCAGCACCTACGACTGTAGCTTCGCTTATCTTGTGCTCTAAACAATCGTCCATCATTTCAGGATCCCAACTCATGTATAGACTGTTTTCCCTTGTGCTTATTTATTTACTTAACTATCAGTAAGAGAAAGCTCATTCTTATACAAGTTTTATTTGCTCTCTGAAAAATATTGCTTAAATGCTTTCTCGAGCCTTACCTGGTGGTACAGGAGGGAGAACTGTGTGAAATGCTCAGGTTCAGAAAAGAAGGTATGCTAAACAAAAGCTGGCATCTTTAAAAACAGAAGTCAATTATCCCTTCAACTGTCTTCTTGTCTGATATCTTAGGCAGTTGAATCCTACCAAGCTGTGTGCCTTTAGCCACATGGCCTTCTAAACCCAGAGGATAAAAACATATGGAACACATGGAACACATGGGAGGAAAGAATAACCAAAACCAAGTCTATAAAAACCCTACCCACCAAACCACAGCCTGGGGACTTCTCTACCATACAAAGTTAATAAGTTACAAAGGAGAAAAAGCCCTTTCCTCTTTTCTTCTGAAGGGTCACCTTTTAAATATTATTATGGTGGTGACAGAAAACCAAACAGGAACTGGGGTCATGTAGAAACTCAGAGCCTACATGGGCATATACTTAGAAACAGTAAAAGCTCCCAGGAGTTCACAGCTTAAAACAAAGAGAAGATCGTTCTTTACACTCACATAAGTTTCTTTCATTCATCCTAGAAAGTTATGTTCCTCTTGAAAATGTAGATGCAGAGAAAAACTGCTTTAAGATAAATTGCTCAGATACAACTCCAGATTTTAAACAGCTTAAAACAATAAGATCGTTCTTTACACTCACATAAGTTTCTTTCATCCATCCTAGAAAGTTATGTTCCTCTTGAAAATGTAGATGCAGAGAAAAACTGCTTTAAGATAAATTGCTCAGATACAACTCCAGATTTTAAAGAACACCAAGGGCGATACTGATTAGTATATTCAATAGGAAACAGGGTGATGGGACACAATGCACATCTGCAGGGTTACTAATGACTCCAAACTGAAGGTAGAGAGAGCTGGGACACAGAATGGCATTCCTAAACTGTGGAGAAATTAAGTAAAGATGCTGTGAGATCAACATGAACAACTACAGCACTCCCGAATTACAGGCTGAGCCCAAAGAGAGAAAGGAGGAGAGTACTCAACTTCCCTTGGGCTGCTGCACCAGGTGACAGGACAAGAGGTCCTTGGGCCTGGAGTTTGGGTTGTTCAGCCTGAGGACAAGAAGCCTACACATGGGTGACTGAAGCTGCAGCCAGACTCTCCACGGTGGTGCACATCCAACGGCAACAGGTCAAGCAAAAAAGTTAAGAGACAGCTTTTGGTTTCATGTGCTGGTATGATCCTGGCTGGCTGCCAGATGTCCCCCAAGCACTCGCCCTCCCCAACTGGACAGGGGAGAGAAAATATAATGAAAGGATCCTGGGTCAAGATAAGGACCGGGTTATCACTCAGCAGCTACCCTCATTGGCAAATGGATCATACCAATCAAACTGGAGTAGGATGAGAAATAAGAACAAATTAAAAACACCTTCCCCGCACTCCTCCCTTTTACCCCAGCTCAACTTCATTCCCAATTTCTCTACCTCCTCCCACCCAATCAGTGCAGGGGAAGGACTCCTCACAGTCTGTCCCTGCTCCAGCGTGGGTCCCTCCCACAGCATGCCATCCTTCAAGGAGCAGCCTGGTCCAACCTGGGTCCCCCTGGAGTCACAAGTCCTGCCAGCAAACCTGCTCCAGCCTGGGCTCCTCTCTCCATGGAGACACAGGTCCTACCAGGAGCCTGCTCCAGCATGGGCTTCCCACAGGTTCAGCCTCTTTTTCTTCAGGCACATCCCCCCTGCTCCAGCATGGGGCCCTCCCCGGGCTGCAGGTGGGTCTGTGCTCCCCAGTGACCCTCCATGGCGGCAGGGCACAGCCGGCCTCACCATGGGCTGCACCACGGGCTGCCGGGGAATCTCTGCTCCAGCGCCTGGCGCATCTCCTCCCCCTCCTTCTCCACTGACCTGGGAGTCTGCAAGGCTGTTTCTCTCTCATATTCTCACTCCCTTCTCTCAGCTGCTCTTGCTCAGCAGTTTTTAACACTTCTTAAATATGTTATCATAGAGGCATTACCAACACTGCTGATGGGTTCAGCTTTAGCCAGTGGCAGGTCTGTCTTGGAGCCGGCTGGAACTGGCTCTGTCCAACATGCGGACACCCCTGGCATCCTTCTGTCAGAAGCGACGCCTGTAGCCACCCTGATACCAAAACCTTGCCAGGCAAACCCAATAAATTTGGAGAAGCAGTTGTGCCAGGAAGACTGCAGTGCTGCCAGGAAGAATTGCTGGATTTCACTCTTCAGGTCCCTTCTAGCTGCTTCACTGGGAATCCTTCTCAAGAGTGGGCAATAAACAACCAAAACACCAAACCAATAACCTAACTGAAAAACAAACTGTAAAAATGTTGTCCTCCTCTCTTATTTGGCCATTTGGTGACTACATCTGGACTCT